TGTTGTGCTTCGGCGTTGGGTGCCAAATCGCTGCAATCTCTCTCTATGGCCCAAGCCCAAGACAATGAGCGTGGATGGGGTCTCGGCGGGATGCGGCACGGTGGTCGAGAGGAGAGGCACTTGAAGCACTTTCCTTCGGTTTTGAGGCGGCGGCGCGGGCGCAGCGATGTAAATGCAGCCTTAAGCGCAAATGGCCACGAAGAGGATGCGATGCACGATTTGACGGCTGTGGCGTTGCGGGGCTTGATGAGTTGACCCTTGTTGCGGCTTGCGCCACCGGTTACTTCACCGGCCTCGAACCACTCTGCTTGACCCGAATTGAAGGCGCGCGTAGGGAAGAAGTGGCTGCCGGTCAAGCGCCATGGCGAGGTGATGTAGTCGTCATGGCGGCCTCGGGGAGCGCTGTCCGTCGCGAGCCGACGAGATGGTTTCGTCGTGAAAACACGCCAGTAAGTGCATCCTCGGCGTAGTAATAATGGCGGATTTGGAGGTGCGAGCCGTTGGTTGACGGTGTAGGTGCGCCTTCATAATCAGAGAGTTGTGCCGCTTGCGATGTCCGCGTGGGAGGGCTGCAGGATGCGAGAATCCGGCGTGGCTGGGATCAGCAGGTCGTCATCCAGCCGCTTGGCCGGCGCGGCGTGTGGATCGATGGCGGCGGCGGTGGGGTCTCAATCGGAGGTGCGCTTGATCTCCCGGCGAGCCTGCTCTCGATTTGTCGCATTTGTCTGGAGGCACGCCGGAGCTGTTGGGGGTGACCGGAATGGGGTGGATCTGCGGGATGGGCTCGCCGCGGCGGAGGATCTGGGGCTGCATCGGGGCGGCGGGGGCGGGTTCCGGCAGCATCGCGGGGGCGGCCTCTACTGGGACGCAGCGAAAACATCCCCCATGACATTGATAGCCAGTTGCTATCCATGCTTGATTTCCTTGTAGTAGCAGGTGAAAATGCAAATGCTATTCTTATTACAACTGAAGTAAGGATGGGGTTGGTGGGCTATGCAGATGTTGGAGGAGAGGAGGAGGGTGGAGAAGATGTAGAGGTTGGAGGGTGGAGAAGATGAGGAGGTTGGAGGGTGGTTCGCTTTTGGAATTGTTGATTGGGTTATGGCACCTTGAAAACGTATATTGCTTTTCTGTTTACTTATGGTCTTTATGGATATGTTACTCTTATATGAAGACAGTTCGAAGATTGTGTGACCATGGTCTATTTAATCCAGGTGTACTTACCCATTTGCCCTCCCAGGAGCTAATAATTCAAGGAGCGATAGTTTTATCTTTTTGGTTTGATTCTGTTTACCCTTCATTACTTCTGCTCTCTTAATCTAGTCTCCTTATATGTTAAAAAGGTACCGTGATGTAGTTGTTGTGATCTCGAGATGCAGTGATTAGGTTGCAGAAGGAGGATCCTCAATTTATCATTCAGCATACATAAATTTGTGAGGTGGGCTGCTAATGAGTCCCGTATATGGGTTCCATATTTCACTATATATTTTTGCGCTTTGGATTTTCATAGTATCTTCTAATGGTGAGATGTTCTCCTCCTTTTTTCTCCTTTTCTGAGAAAGAAAAGAAAACAAGCCAGTAAGATCTGGTGCTATTCTTGCTTGTTTGAGATGGTGACTGATGAGTGTTTTCAGTGATCCAGACTCAGCACAGGTCACAGGATGGTGTAGCTAGCTTTATATACAGAGTAGTGTTTTTCTTGCTTATATTTCTAACAGAGAAAACCGTGATGATGAATAGGGCAAGAACAGAAGCGCAGAAGAACATGGAGAAACGAAAAAAATCGGGCGGTGCTCTGGAGCAGCCATGGCCACACGGTACATGGCAAGCGTTGTTCTGGTCTGCTGGTGGAGCCGTGCCAAGGACTGGGCTGCTTCTTTTTTCTTCCTTCTTTTGACACATCACATACACACACATTCTCAGAGTTTTGTTTAGCTAGATTTATGGAGAAATACAGTCATTTATTCCAGGCTTTGGGTTGAGTCTGGTTACTGCCGATTTGGCTAACCATTTTGGTTAATCGAGTGTGTGTTCCGATCACAAAAGATTTTTTTTTTTTTTGTTTCTCCATTTTGTGAAAAGCCTTGGTTTGCCTGGTTGATGCCTTTATGTAGGCTGAAAGCAGAGCAGCCCCTGTTTTTGGATTAGGCAAGATTAACAAAGAACCCACCACAACCATAGATCTCTTCAGGTGCCGGATCAGCTACTGTTAACACTATCCCCAGTCAAACAAGGCTATCTATCTTTCTGTATCATTATAGGAGAATAATTATATGAACCAGTTTAACTACTGAATTTATCTTTCTAAAATTGAAATATATGTTTCTCTTAAGTGGAGTGGAAGAGAAAAAAAAAATACAGCATAGTACCTCAAGATAGCTAAGCTACCGCATGTTCCACCTGAGTTCATTGCGCCATTAATTATGATTTTAGTTTAAGCCCCTTTGGAACGCTGGAAATTTTTCCATTTGTGAAAATGAACTGATTCATGTGAAATTCCTTTATGATTCTTATGAAATTCATGCATTCCAAAGGGGGTCTTAGTCTCCAGTCTCTAAACGTGAAAAGATCCGGCACTTGTGGAAAGTTCTGCCATGATTTTTCCTGTTATTTTTCATGTCAACCACACCAAGTTTGGCCCGCAATTCATGTGCCCGGGCCTGTAGCCGCGTTAAGATTTGCTCCAGCTAGCATGGAACCAGCATTTTTTTTTTTTGCCAAGGACGAAACTTGCTTTCTATCATGCCATCGGTGTTTAACCGGTCAGAGGGAGCAGTTTACAAAAACATTTTGAATTGGACAGTTTTCGTCTCATATCTACACATTGTTTGTGATGCAATAGAATTTAAATCTGTACAAAACTAGGTCAATTAAAAATAAGGCCCCGTTTGGCAGGGCTTCTCCACCGGCTTCAGAAGCCGTTTGGAGCCGTTTTCTGTCAAACGGGGTAAAGTGAAATAGCTTCACTGGTGAAGCCTCTAAAAACATGCTCTCACAGTGATTTTGAGTGGGATGGAGCCAAAAAAAAGTGGTTTCTCCTGGCTCCTCCTACAGGCCCCTAAAAACATGCTCTCACAGGAAAACCATTTTGCCAAATGATTTACCAAAACCGCTTCAGCTCCACTGGTGGAGCTGTTCGTGGAGCTGAAGCCAAAAAAAAAATGGCTTCACTAATGAAGTGAAGCTCTGCCAAACGGGACCTAAGAGTAAAAGCAAAGACGAAAGGTCCACCTCTCAAAAGTAATTAGATATCAACTTAATTATACTTTGAACATAACGGAGCAGCCTATAATAAAAACGATATACACACACGTTTTGGGTGGATCGAATAGAGAGAGCGGCCAAGAAATGTCTTTGCCCTATTCGTTTGGACTTGTTTGCCTGATAAGTTATGGCTGAAAGAACTGTTGGTTGGTTTAATGTGAGAGAAAAATATTTTTCGTTGACTAAAAAAATACGACTTATCAGCCTGTTCGGCTGGTGCTGGCTAGCTAGCTGGGCTGGCCAGCCCACTCACAAGGACAGTGTTTTCCAGTCACAACAGTATTTTTCTCTCACATAAATTAACAAATAGTATTTTTTTACGAACCAGCAACGATACAAACCAGCCAATAGGCTGTATAACTCTGACACGACCCAGCGAACAAGATCCTCGTCCATGGAACGCTAGCGCTTTCAAGTTGCCGACAAGCGATCCCTGGTTTTGGATAAGTTCAAGGCAAGCGTAACAAACAAACCACCTTCATTCATTCTACTTATCTTGTCAAATGAGCCACACCGTCGACACTCTAAGTCCAAAATAAAATGATATTTTAAATCAATCATCATCCTTATTATTAAAAAAAAGAACAACCGTCACCAGAATCGATCCTTTCTGTGTGCTGAAAGCACGAAAAGTTTTCTACTGCAACAAACTGTGTGCCGAAAAAGAGGGGCCGGCTCCTCTGCAAACCGAAGCAAAACCATGAGTCTCTGACACGTGGGTTTGTCAGCTCGGTTCGTTTTAGCTAAATTAGCTTATAAACTGCTGGCTAAAAGCATTGCTAACTAATTTAATATAAAAAAAATACTATTAACTGATTGATAAGCTAAGCCAGACATGCTGCGAACAGGCTGATACTCTGATGACGATGATGGCTGAACCTTGACTTAAATCCTACGCGTCATTCTCATCCGCCTCTGCTTTGCCTTATCCACAGCACCACCACCAATCACAGCCCGCCAAGTGTCCCCTAACGGCCACCGCCTGTCCACACCACACCACACCACCCCACCCGTTCCGTTCCGTTCCGTTGGCCACAGACGATCCCGATCTCCCCGCTCCAACCCCAACGCAATCGTTCCCTCCCCAGCATCAAAACCCTAACTCCCACGCCGGCCTGGTCCAAACGCCGCACGTCCCGAGGCAGCAGCGGCGGCCCAACAACACACCCTTCCTCCTCCCTCACCGACTCGTGGGGCCCAGAGCCAATCCCTCCCACGTGTCAGTGAGCCGTTGGTGTTCCCTGCTGCCCGAGCCGGCCGCGCGGACATCGCCCCTGGATAGGGATCCGCGACGGCCGGCCGGCCCGGACCAGACCAGCGGGCCGTGGAGGCCCACAGAGCAGGCTCAATGACGTGCGGGGCCGCGACGGGCGACGTGCCGCCGCCTCCGTACGCCTCGCCTCCCCTCTCTATCCCTTCCCGGAGAGGGAGAAACAAAACGAGACCAGCAGCAGCAGAGTGGGGAGAGAGAAAAATAAATTATCCAAACACACTCGCTCGCACACAAATCTCGCGCACGGGTTCGGGGCCGCCGGCTCGATCCGCGGCCGAAACCCTAGGTACGGGCGGGAGAAACCCTCCCTTCCTCCTCCGCCTCGCTCAAACCGCGCCTCCCCTCATTCCGGCTTCGCTGACGCGAGCGGTGCCGCTGCTACGTTGTTGTTGTTTCTGCTGCAGGTGGTGACGACGGTGGTGGGTGCTGGGGAGGTGCTGGAGGAGGAGGAGGGCTGGGAGGGATGACGTCGCCGAGGAAGGACGGGGGGTTCCTGACGCAGGACCAGCGGGAGGAGCTGCGGATCGCGGTGCAGAACGCGGAGACGCAGTCGCTCGCCTCCCCGCGCTCGCCCACGGGGGGGACCACCTCCGCGCTGCTGTTGCATTACGAGCAGCAGATGCTGGAGCAGAAGCGCGCCGCCGCCGCCGCAGCGGCCGCCGCGGCTGCTGGCGGGAGGGGCGGAGGGGGTGGGGGTGGGGGAGGGGGAGGTGGGCCCAGGCACGTGCGCCGGTCGCATTCCGGGAAGACCATCAAGGTGAAGAAAGGTGAGGTGGCGCTGGCTGCTCGATCTATTCACGCCTGCTATGTTTAGTACCTTGCTTGTTTGTTTAGGATAGCATAGGGTAGGATAGGCTGGTTTGTGTGAATGATGTGCTGCTATTATTAATTTGCTGCTTTGTTTGCGTTGATTGCTTCTACTGGGTTTCAACTCTAGCCTACCCCAACTTGTTTGGGACTTAAAGGCTTTGTTGTTGTTGTTGTTGTTTGCGTTGATTAGGGTGTAATGCTAATTGTGGCGTCATGATGTTTTTGCCTATGTTGCTACGAATGTAGGTTCAGCGGCTCTGCTTCATATAGCTCTCCTTGTTTATTAGGGATATACTTTTTTGTGGGGTCTCCTTGTTGCCTATAGCTCTGGATTTCTAGTGTCCTGCTAGCTAGTCTGTGGCTCATGAAATTGGGCCACCATGGATGGTGGGCTCTTGTTGTGTTGAGACTGCATAGCTTGGGTTTGGAGATGGTAATTAAAGCGGAAATGTAGCATTGATGCAATTTATTGTGTAGAAACATGGATGCTTTTCTAGCTGCTTATCTATCTGCCCAACTGAAATTGTTTTTGTAGGTTGGTTAAGTATATAAGCACTTTGTTTAAAATATTCTGTGCTATATCTGCATGCTTGTTACGTAGACGGTTAGCTTTGCATACATGGTGCATAATGGTTCTTCCGTGTCCGGGTTAACTTCCAGTCTGAGCTGCCAATAGGGGATTAGCTGGTGGTTGAGCCACCCATAAGGGAATGATTTAGTTGGACCATGACATTTGTATATTTGGCTGTGTAGTGATTTCTGTTGAAAGGTCAGTTCATTTTAGGTACTATGTTTGTTCTGTCTTCATTCGCCAGCCTTTTAGCTATTTTTGTTGCCACCGTACTCTTTTGTCGTATATCTGTGTAACCGTACAAACTGTTCTTAGGTCAGAATGTGGTAACGTAAAATTGACGGTGCACATTGTGCCCTTGGTTCTGATAACCAGCTTTCAGTTGAGTGAACCACAGAATTGTCCTGTGGGCGGGTATGATGTGAACCATCTTCCACAAGCCAGCTGCTAATTCAAGGGACCACTTCAAGTGCCTCCTGTGGGTACCATGTAGGGCGCGCTGTATGTGATTTGTTTTATGAAGTACAGCTACTTCATTTGTTTATTATTTATCAATCACCTATCATCCTGTGTGGCAAATTGTGTCCTGAACTCCTAATGGGGGTTCAGTAGAGCATCCTTCAGCTTGATTGCTTGAACCTATTAAGTTAGAATTGTTCTGTTCCTTTCAGTTGGCAATTTTAGCTGATGATATTTGGACTGTCTAAGCATGTGTGTGTGCAACCTACATGTTGGAAAGTCGGAGCATGTGCTTCTATTGCCTTTATTTAATTGTCAATTCATGTTTTCACCAGTACACAGTATTGCATTGCTTTGAAATAGCTGCATCCTTGATGCTGCCAACTATGTATGCACGTCGAAAAAAATAGTCTGCAGTGCTGTTATGGCCTTACTTTCAACAGTTTCCTTTTTTGTTTAGAAACTTTGGTTAGAATGCGATCTTATCTTTTTGTCTCTTTGTCATGGTTTCCTTAATTTGTTTTGTATTCACATGGTGTATTAGGGATATGTTTAGAAGCATGTTTGCTTCCAGGTCTACCCTGAATGCATATGGTTATATCTCTTATGTGAAAGCAGGATATGTATTGACACAATTTACTGTTATTGAATACCAGTTGCCAGGTGTACTTTGGAGGTTCATGTTCCTTTAGCTTTATTCTGATTATTGCAGCCCTTGCAACTTTAAGAAACAAGAAAAGGATCCATCTACGTGTTAGATCTAGTTTATCATATTAGGGATGGCCAAATGTTATGCAGCCTCCGTGTAGCATTTATAGCATGTGGCCGACTATCTTTTGACAACATGTGATTGCCATGTGTGTTGTGCAAAGATATGAAATGCAAGTGTGCAATGTGTAATTTTGACTATACTATTGTGAAAACCTATGTGTCTTCTGATACTGTTGCATGCTATGGAGTGTCAGTTGTTTAGTTCTTGGGAGTTTTTTTATGCATGAGATTAGTTCTTGGGAGTTTTTTTATGCATGAGATTGCTGACTTACTACCTATGATCTAAGTGTACACATAGTTGGGCTTAGGCTCTATGTAATTACAATAGCTTAATAAATACTATTGTGAGTTATACCTAAGATTAGTATTACCATGTTTCAAACTTTCGAAGATAGAAAAATGTGAAATTTATCTATGTTCTACTGTATCCTAATTGACTTGCTGAGGTTTCTATTGCAGATGGAGCTGGTGGCAAAGGGTCTTGGGGCAAACTAATTGATACTGACGCAGAGGCATGCCTTGACCGAAATGATCCAAACTATGACAGTGGTGAGGTAATGACTATTGATGGTATTGACCCATTTATTCTCACTCTGCTACAAACAATTGAGTGTCAAATGTTCAATCTCAGCAACTATTGTAGATCACCTTTTATTTGTCTCAATTGGTTAGTATGCAACCATACATGTACATCGATGTTGATCTCTTTTTGCAACTCAGGAACCATATGAGTTAGTTGAAGCCCCTGTTTCAACCCCACTAGAAGACTACAAGAAAGCTGTTGTCCCATTAATTGAGGAATATTTCAGCAATGGTGATGTGAAATTAGCTGCTTCTGATCTTAAAGAATTGGGTTATGATGATTTCCACCGTTACTTTGTCAAGAAGCTTGTTTCCACAGCAATGGACAGGCATGACAAGGAGAAAGAGATGGCATCAGTGCTTCTATCATATCTTTATGGCAACGTGGTCAGTTCAACTCAAATCAGACTGGGTTTTGTGCTGCTATTAGAGGCTGTTGATGACCTGGCTGTTGACATACCTGATGTGGTTGATGTGCTTGCGCTTTTCATTGCACGTGCAGTTGTTGATGACATTCTGCCACCTGCTTTCCTCAGCAAGGCAAAAGTGAGTCTCTCAGGATCTTCAAAGGGTATGCAGGTTGTACAAATCGCAGAGAAAAGCTATCTTTCAGCACCCCACCATGCAGAGTTAATTGAGCTGACGATGGGGTGGTTCAACTCACATCACGGTAGAAGAGGTGAAGAAGAGGATTGCTGATCTTCTAAAGGAATACATCAGAAATGGTGATACAGCTGAGGCATGTAGGTGCATTAGAGAGCTGGCAGTGCCCTTTTTTCATCATGAGGTGGTGAAGCGAGCTCTTACTCTTGGAATGGAGAGTCCAGCTGCTGAAGCTCTTATTGTCAAACTTCTGAAGGAAGCATCTGAAGAATGTTTAATAAGCTCTAGTCAGATTATGAAAGGATTCTATCGTGTAGCTGAGAGTCTTGATGATCTCATTCTTGATATACCATCTGCAAAGTCTGAATTTCAGCTGTTGGTATCAAAAGCCATTTCTGAGGGATGGCTAGATCCTTCATATGTGTTTAAGTCAGGTGTCAACGGAAGCGATGAAGATGAACATGAGAAGCTGGCAAGGTACAAGAGGGAGGCTGTATCTATAATACACGAATACTTTCTCTCTGATGATACAACAGAGGTTATCCGTAGTGTGAAAGAGCTTGGTTATCCAGAATATAATCCAATCTTCATCAAGAAGCTCATTACAATTGCTATGGACCGCAAGAACAGGGAGAAAGAGATGGCATCAGTTCTTCTATCCTCATTAAGCATGGAGCTGTTCTCGTCTGAAGACATCGCCAAGGGATTCATAATGCTCCTTGAATCTGCAGAAGACACCGCACTGGATATATTGGATGCCTCAGATGAGCTGGGATTGTTCCTAGCCAGGGCTGTGATTGATGATGTTCTTGCACCTCTAAACTTGGATGAGATTAGCAGCAAGCTTCCACCAAACTGCAGCGGGGCTGAAACATTGAACATGGCACGCTCCCTTGCGTCAGCCCGTCATGCTGGTGAGAGGCTTTTGAGGTGCTGGGGTGGTGGAACCGGATGGGCTGTCGAGGATGCCAAGGACAAGATAACAAAGCTCCTGGAGGAGTACGAGAGTGGAGGTGATTTAGGGGAAGCATGCAACTGCATCCGTGAGCTGGGTATGTCTTTCTTCAACCATGAAGTTGTCAAGAAGGCGCTCGTGATGACAATGGAGAAGAAGAATGTGAGGACCCTGAGCCTGCTGCAGGAGTGCTTTGGTGAAGGGATCATAACCATCAACCAGATGACCAAGGGATTCTCAAGGGTCAGAGATGGGCTCGACGACCTGGCTCTGGACATTCCTGATGCCAGGGAGAAGTTCCTTTCCTATGTGGAGCACGCGAAGAAGAGTGGATGGGTCCTGCCCGGGTTCGGTTTTGCATCTTCAGCTTGAACAGCTGGGCAGAGAAGTACGAAGCTGAAGCAGAAGGCAGGCGCAGCCGCAGGCCGTAATGTGGCTCAGCAGACCCAGTTTGGCTGTGTTTTCGTCGTTTGTCGTTGCGCTTGCGCGTAGGTAGCGGAGCGAGCCCCTCCTTGTTGCGGTGGTGGTGGTGGCTTGTGTGTCTAGATCTCGCATCTGATGACATGCTCATGCTGTTCTTGTTTCATTTCATTTTAACTCCCCATAGACCCTTTTTACATCAAGCGAAAACAGAGGAGAGAAAAAAAGACCATGTTGTAAAAGTTCTGTCTGCCATGTTCCGCCTGCATTATGGCTGTTTCTTTCTTATTTAGCTGTAACCGTGCTTTCCTGCCCTTTCAACTCTAATAACCTGCAGGGGAGGACAATGTCGCCAGTGGGATGAAGCGTCGCCTCCGGATCTGCTACGATTTTGTGCCATCTCATAGGCTGTAGCAGCTTTCCTATGACATTGGATGGTTGTTGGATTGTGATTGCTACTGTTATTCTTGTGGAAATGATGTGGCCTGGTGAATGCCTGGATTGCGAGTATGAGCCGCGGGCCGCCCAGTCTGGAGTCTGGACTGGCACTGTATCTTCGATGCTTTCTTTGTTTTATGATGCGACGAGTGCTCATGGACTTGGAATTCGGAGATACCATGAGTTTATTGAACTCCATTCCGGTGTCGTTTTAAATTTCATGCTGCAACTCAAAAAATTGAAGGATTTTAGGCTTAAATTTGAATTATGCTTTGTGAAAAATGAATCTGTCTCTTCCAGAATGCCCGAGCTCTAAACGGCGCAACAAGCAGGGTTATTAGAGCATAAAAACATATTCCAACTATGCCTTATTCTAGCTTCGAATCTAGCGAGCACCTAATTCTTAAACTCCCAGTCTACCACGCTTGAATTATCCTAACTCCCAATGTATCCTGCTTGTGTATACTACTGTAACTCTCGGTCTATCGTACTATGCGCATGATACATATTGCGTCAGTGGTGGTGGCGGCCTTGGCGCTGTTTTCTTTTCTTTTTTTTTCCCTTCGCACTCCCTTTGTGCTATGCGGATGATACATATTCCATCAGTGATGGTGGCGGCCTTGGCGCTGTTTTCTTTTTCCTTTGCACTCCCTTTTATCACCGACTGCTTGCCATTGTCACCACCTAGAGGTTCACCAGAATTGGATATCCAGACACTATTTTTAGATATAAGGAGTAGGCAATGGAGATTCGATTTGGGAGTTTATGGGGTGAGTGAGTTATGATGATGGAGATGTTCAGCCATGGCTTGGCCGCCGCTATCGCCGCATAGGAGGTTCGCCAGAACTGCGGTCACTATGTTTAGATCTAAGAATACTCGGATGTGCAGCAGGTAATGAAAATTCAGTTTTGAAAGTTTTAGGTGTGAGGTAGGGTGTTGGGGATGGCTGGCCAAGGCGGTAAGTTGTGGCAAGTCGGCATGTAGGACAATGCCAACGTGTATGTTTTTCGGAAAAAAGAAAGCTGTTAGAGTGTTGTTTTTTTCATACCTAATAGTTTTTGGAAAGGTTTTGACCAAGTATTTAGGACTCATTTTTTATCAGGCAATGATGAATTATTCATTTCATCGAGACGATGATTAATCTCCCTTGATTTGGATAATGATTTCATGGAAAGGACAGTCCCAGTGCTGGCCCTAGCGGCTCCCACATGAGTGGGTCTAGGGAAGAATAACCGAGGCAAGCCTCGCGTCAAACCTATAACCTTTGGCTCAGTGGGAAGGCTTCTCACCACTACGTCAGGCTTGTCCTTCATAATGATTTTATAAAGGTGGTAAAAAATATTATAAAATAAAGGGAGCAAACCACAGCCCACCCGCTTCGTCTCTCATCCCACCCCGCTCCTCCCCTTTCCCTCCTCTCTCGCTCCCCCACTCTCGGCCCTGCCCCCCCCCCTAGTGTTTCACCTCCGCCCTCCTCTAATCGGAATCAAAGGGGAAATTTCTAGGACACTCGGCCCTACCGCCATCGCGCTACCCACCCCCGCCACTCCATCTCTACCCTCCCCTATTGCCTGTCGAAGGAGGAAAGCCAAACCCCTCTCCACCACCATGGATCTACCCAAATGTCACTTGCCGCCTCGCTCGCCGCCACTGCACTCACCACCACTAATCTGACCACCTCCCTTTCCAATCCTCTCAGCCACAAATATCCTTCCTTAACCCGAAAACCCAAACCCTAACCCTAACCCATGAAACCCTATATATGGATCAAAGCTCACCAAAGGTCGAGGAGGTCAACAAAGATGGAGATCGAGGAGGTCAACGGAGATAGAGATCGCCGGAGAAGAGGAGGTAACCATCAGATTTGGCTTTTTACTTCCTCCTTGATCTCTTTTGTTCTAATTCTATGTTACTTATTTCCTTTTTTGTTTTAGTTGATTTATACGGTGAATTTATTTCTATTTCTTTTGGGGTGGGGGTTAAAATAAAAGCGCACCATCAAATAACAAACTATAAATATGGTTATGCTATCATGAAAGTTTAACCATCTGTCTATAAATATGATTATACTACAAGGAAAGTTTAAGCGAAATAGGGGAGGTTTTGTTTCTCTTGGCTGTTCTAGTTCCTCGGGTTCTTCTGTTTCTTTACCACTATTTTGATTCAGAAGTAGCTCATTTCGCTCTAAATATTTTATTTGGATTTATCATATCTCAATCTATCTCTAGATTTTTTTTCTGAAAATTTTAAGAGTTCTGAGATATTTTTGTGATTTAAAAACCTTATCAAGTGCTACCAGATTTTTTTAACTAAAGAAAGAATAAAATCGTCTTCAAAACAACTCCAAAACCAGTCACTTGAACAGAAACCACTCCAAAACCAGGTAAGTTAACGGTTTTGGGTGTTTATGGAGTAAGATGTCTTGTTTTAAAGTTGATGATTCATTGAGGTAAAATAGATTTTTTTTTTCAAAGAAACCAAGAAACTCCATGGCCCACGCAGCTGCCCTAGCCTTTGCAGCCGTTGCTGATGTAGCCTTTGCATCCGCGGCGACATCCACAGCGGCCACACTCGCCACCTCGATCATCCGACGCGTTGGCGGCGATCGCCATCTGCCCATCTCGCGGAGGCAGGCGAGGAGATCAGCAGAGGTGGGCGGGGCTCGGCAGCAAGCATCGCCGGCAGTGGCAGCCGCCCTGAGCCCCGTGATGCTTGTCAATGTTTGCTGGTCCCTTAATTTGGATCATGATTTCACGAAAACAGTAGAAACCGGCAAAAGAAAAAAAAAACAAAATCCAACGCACAACTACAAACACGGTTATGCTACCAGGAAAGTTTAAGCATCTCCGACTATAAAACATCTTTTATGTTAGCGATGCACATCTGCTGTGTCTTTGACCAGTATCTCCCCCCATCGGAGGCAAGCTACAGTCAAGAGATGGACACACTTTTGACAGTCTGAAGTCTGAACTGATTCGACCACCAGAGCCAAACCAGAAAACATGATAGAAGACTAGCAAGAATGGACAACCATAATGTCAGGTTCAGCCAAATGGCAATCAGCATAGCCCAGCCTTTGTTCTACTGCCCATCTCCAGCTTGAACTGCAGAGGGCTGCTCTGTTCCTGGCCTGCTGCAAACTACCCTGCTTCCGCCTTTGTTTTGCAGTCCGGTCCGATCTTGCAGAAGCAGCAGCTGAACAGCTTGGCTCGGCGTTTCTCCCGCGTCTGGGACTTCTGATGGGGAGCACAAGCACCACAGGGTAGAAGGTGCGAGCAGCAGCCAGGACGAACTCTGCCTTCATCAACCTTTGATGTGTCTCCAGCGGTGGCTTTCAGGGGAGTGTTTCCTGGGGTGGACGCTGCAGGGACGACAGAGATCTTCTGGTAGCTCAGGATCCTCGGCTCGGTATCCACTGTGTCACCATCTGCACCGCCATGGAGGCACCCCAGGATGTGGGTTGGCTTCTCCTTGGCCTGCGCCACGAGTGGGGAAGGGCAGTCTCTTCTGGATGATACGACGGTTCTGCAGTTTGAGGTGACTGGGTCCTGCGCCTCACGGTCTTCTCTTGATTCCATGACAAGGCTGACTGATGAGTCCTTGGATCCAACCCTGTTGCTGGAGATAGGAGAAAGGTTGATTCGGATGTCGACGTTGCACCTCAGCAAATTCTGCAGAGATGCGCATAGTGGCTTCCAGAAGCTCTCTGATGTTGGGACAACCTCAGGATGGCAGAACTGTAGCTCAGCAACTGCTACACCTACAATTCAGAGCAAAAAAGAATGAAATCTGACGTGTAGAATATCCTTAGTCAGGAACACAGTGATGCTAACTGAATGTATGCACTCCAAATTGGCAGGCAATATTTGATGCCTAGTAATGCAAGATGCACCCCCATTAGGAAGACAACAACACTAGCTTATCAACAAGTATACCTATTGCTATATCGTGCATATGTCCAGACAAACATGTGCTTTCTGAAATGTAGCACTGAGCAACTGTCTGGAAAGGTGTGTTAAGGTGGCCCACAGCAAACAACAATTACAGGAAGTAGGGACACACTACTCAGTGACAAACAGATCTGACTCCAATAAAACAGAAGAAAGAGATCCCACACACAGAGCAAATCACCTTGGGTTGTATAGAGAGATGACAACTTCCCATCCTTCTGTAGTAGATTTTGAAGCGGAGGGGATGAACAGTTTTCAAGAGCTTTCATCCATATTGTCTCCAATACATCTGGATCTCCCAAATTCATGTCTAGAGAACTAACTTTGTTCTGGGAACAAAGATGGGAACTTGTATCTAAGCTCTCATCTTTCAGTACTGCAGTCCCATCATCTGCACAAAAGTACAGCTCGCTTATCAGTAAACAGACATACTGATAAAGTGATATTGACATAGTTCCACTTCACAGTGCTTCTTACTCTCAAATATTTCAACATTCAGGAGAGATTAAATTAAGGGGGCAGACAATATTAACTACCTGTCTGACTTTCAGTAAACATGCTTG